TAAATCGGCTAAGGATTAGCGGGATCGACTAAGTCGAGGATAATCGCGACGGAAGACTTTGGCGAAAGAGAGTGTTGGCGAAATAGGCGAAGAAGTAACTGAGTAATTAAAGAGTTGAATGACGATTGGTTGATATGAGGGAATACAAGCAAGGTTGATATAGCATGCAAGATCGAATGATGGAAAGTAATTCGTGGGACTAGAAAGTAGAAGTAAGAAAAGTAGAGTGCCACGTGGCACTAGGAAATCTGAAAAGATAAGGATAAGGATAGGGTTGGGAGTAATGTTCAAAGGGAACAGTAAACACCCCTCTAACACGCATGCTGGCCAACTATGCCGCCAAAACTAAATACAGGCAGGGGCGTCTCACAACCACCGCAGCCCGTCTCAACGCTCACTACAGGCAGAGGTGGTCCGTGACGCTCCAACGCAGCCAGGCTATTTCTCTCCTCTCAAAGTCAAACAGGGCAGCAGAAGCGGCATTCCCACAGGCCTCCACAGACCCATGGGTACCTCGGCTCGGTGATCTCTGGCAGACGTTAGAAGACGAGTACGAAGAGCGGCACGCCCCAGCAAGGGCAGCCTAGAGGGGCCGGGGGTGAGGAGAAGTGTGCTGGGAAGCGGGTAGGGAGTTGCAGGGTGGAAGACAAGGGTCTCAGGGGTAGGACCGGGACAGGAGGACTGTGGGATTTTCAGAGGCAAAGGTGGTCTCGGCAGTGGCGGTTGTGGGTGGCTGAGTCTTGTGGCTTTTGCTCCACTAGCCTTGCCCTGCTTGCTTCCTGGGTTGTTTGGTTGTTTGGTTGCTTGCATTGCTTGCATTGCTAGTTTAGCTACATCATTGCTTACATGCTTAGACAGCCTATTAGCCACTACATGCCATGCCTGTACCTTTGAGCCATATCAATACAGAACTGCTTAAGAGAGAGAGAGAGAGAGAGAGAGAGAGAGAGAGAGAGAGAGAGAGAGAGAGAGAGAGAGAGAGAGAGAGAGAGAGAGAGAGAGAGAGAGAGAGAGAGAGAGAATAGCACGGCCCACCACCTGAACTCCCTGACTCATTTCGCTGCACCCAGCGGTGGCCGAGCTCCTACCCCTCCTGGACTCTGCCCACGGCTCCACCCACGCCCTGCCAGCACGCCTCGCAGCTGCTGAAGCGGCCCTCCCCCCCGAGGCACTCGGGGCCCTCCAGGCAGGGAGAGTGGAGCCAAAGGGCCTGAAGCTGCAGCAGTCCCTGGCGCTGGCGGTTCACACCCGCCGCATCCTGCGGGTGATGAACGAGGCGAGGCGGATGCGCCCCAATCCCCTCTCTGGCCACGCGCAGCGGATGCAATCAGTGCTGGGCCCGGGAGCAGGGGACTGGCTGCTGGCGATCCCCCTCATCCCCTCGCTCCGGATGGGCCCCTCGCAACTCTCTACTGCAGCCGCCTTCCGCCTAGGCCTCCCCCTCCCGGTGCCTAGGCACTGCAACTGCCGGTACCACGGGTAGAGAGCAAGGCGGAATGTCTGACAACTTTTAAGATGAATAAATAGTGCACTCAGCTATGCATGCACTCACAGCCGTGCTTGCACTCACAGCCATGCATGCACTCAGCCATGCATGCACTCACAGCCATGCATGCACTCAGCCATGCATGCACTCACAGCCGTGCTTGCACTCACAGCCATGCATGCACTCAGCCATGCATGCACTCACAGCCATGCATGCACTCACAGCCATGCATGCACTCACAGCCATGCATGCACTCACAGCCATGGATGGGTAGAGCACGAGGCGGAATTTCTGGCGCCCGTCACTCATGGTGGGCCCTAGAAGCACTGCCACCCAGCTGCAGAGGCATGGGCGGAGAGCGGTGGAGAGGGATGGGGAGGGGTGGGGAGTGGTGGAAAGGGGTGGAGAAGGGTGGAGAACGGTGACATTCATCTCTCTCCGGATTGGTTACATTCATCAACTTCCACCCTCCAAAACGGTTACATCCGTCTACTCACCCTCTCCTGTGCACCCACTGAATTCAGGACCAAATGCATCTCACATTCTCCGACACACCCATTGCGGGATAAAGGCTTTCACTAGCGGCGGCGCTGAGAGGGTCTGTTGGCGCACGTAGCCCTCGAACAACGCCACTCGGCTCTGATGGGGCAAGACGAGAGGCGGGAAGGGAGAAGAGGGCGACGAGGGAGGCAGCCAGGAGCTGAGTCCTAACGGCACCGAGAGGGTATGCTGGCGGCGCACGTAGCCGCTCGGCTCGGCACTGATGGGTGGAAAAAAGAGGGAGGGAAATTGTGGGGTGAGAGGATGTAGTGTAATGAGGGAGATAAGTGCAAGGAGAAGAGTGTCAACGACACAGAGAGGGTCTGCTGAGGGATTGCTGGCGCAAGCAACCTTTTCCTCCACACCTCCCGTTTCTCCCCCACATAGACAATGACAGTTTGTGACAGATGGCCATGTCCACCGTGAAGATGTAGCTCAGATGGTAGAGCTCTCGCTTAGCATGCGAGAGGTATGGGGATCCATACCCCACTTCTTCCAGGTGACATTTTCGTCTCTCTGCTCATGCCATCTACCCTTTGCTGAAGTATCAAGCTTTCGAACACACACTGACACATGCTACCTCCCCTCCCTTCCTTCTCCCCTACCATCACCTCACCTCTATGTGAGTCTAACGACAGCAAGCAAGCAATGAGCACCTCTATGAGTCTAACCACAGCAGGCAAGCAATGAGCACCTCTACGAGTCTAGCCACAGTAGGCAAGCAATGAGCACCTCTATGAGTCTAACGACAGCAGGCAAGCAATGGGCACCTCTATAAGTCTAACCACAGCAGGCAAGCAATGAGCACCACTACGAGTCTAACCACAGCAGGAAAGCAATGAGCACCTCTACGAGTCTAACCACAGCAGGCAAGCAATGAGGACCACTACGAGTCTAACCACAGCAGTGTCGTTTCTCTCGCTTGCCAAAGTAGTCTTGCCCTTGTCTCACACACCCAGCCTTGTCTCACACACCCAGACACACTAAGGGCGCGATCCGGGATATTTTCACTTGGGAGAGCTCGAGGGCGTATTTCTACTCGAGGTTGTGTCGGAAGGTCGCGGAGGACGGGCTTGCGAGGCAGTTCATGCTGCAGGTGGACGGGCTGGGGAAGATTGATTTGATTTCAGAGGTGAAGTGGTGGTATTTGGACGAGCAACGGGTGAAGCGGGGGGAGAGTGAGGCGCTGCGGACGAGTGTGGCGATAGATGGGGATGAGTGGGTGGATGATAAGCAGTTCATGGCATGGGTGCAGGGCACGAGGAGGAATGCAGAGGGGTTCAGGAGGAGGGTGATGAGTCTGAGGGGGGGGGGGCTGGCGGCGGTGCTGACGAGGGAGAGGGACGCTGGGAGCATTGTGGACGGGCTGGCACAGGCTGTTGCCAGCGTGCTGCAGGCGCTACGTCGTTGCTTGCTGGCTGGTTGGCTTGCGAGGTTTCTGTTTCCTTCCTATTTCTATTTCTTATTCTATTTCTTTGCATGCCTTTCTAGCTATTGAATGTTTCCTTTCCTTTGCCTTCCAAATCCTTCCATGGCCTGATTCATGCTTTTCTCCTGTGTGTTCTTGTCATCGTTGTTCTTATCTTGTGCGGTGTCCATCCAACAGCTTCCTGCCAGTGCGCGCAAGGACGCTGCTCCCAAGCTCGCCCAAGTGCTGGAACAGCAGCAGTGGCACCCTCCTGCCCCTGCCTGGCCTTCTTGCCAATTTCTGGGCCAGCAGTGAGGCCATCCGTCTTGCCCTGCCCCTCACTGTGATTCTTGGCAGGGGTTATGGCAATCAGGGTGTGCCAGCACAGAGGCCTTGTGGCCCATGGGGTGTGCCAACCAGAAAGTGATGATTTGTTGCCTTCTAAGCCATAACTACTAGGTACCGTAGGTATCCCTCCTGCTCTAGCCCTTCCCCTCACCTCCACCCCCCCTGCCCCTTGGTCCGACCCCCTTTCCCAAATATTGTGTACTTGTACAAACCTGATATGAACATGGGCACTGGTGTACTGACGTGTGCACAGCTGTGGGGGGACAAGCCGTATGGAGGGGACAGTCCTTATCCTCGATATAAGCAGTCCCGTCTCCTTGTGGGTAGCCAATATGAATAGGTGATTGATAGCATAGCTGATGTATGTAGCAATACACAGTTTTTGTTAACTTTGGATCAACTGTATGTAATTCACCAGTTTGTGGACCTGTGATACTATTGCCGCAAGTTACGAACAACCTAGACACCTCCTCCGCACTCATCTCAGCAACAACAGCCAGGGCATTTGCTCAAGGTCCAACCCCGTGGCATTTGCTCGAGGTCTATAAAGGCAACTGTGGCATTTGCTCCGTATTTGGTGGTCGCTCGGGTTTGAGGTGCGCCAGAGTGCTCGAGCGTGAACGGCACGAGAGGGTTGGAGTCATGTTATGTGGGGTACTTCTTCATTCTATCAAAGAGTGCCAGAAGGGTGGCACACGCCTGCCTACCTGTGTTTAGGCCTTGTAAACGAAAGCAAAGTACTAAATGTTTGTAAGACATAGTAGTGGGTATTCGATAGTGAGCTCACCTATGAACGCAGTCATTGCTCCATTGCGTAATGCGCTGCTTTACAGCCCTAAAACTAGATAAAGCAATCATACGAGACATGTTGAAGGGTTTTACACGCAATCGCGGTTAAAGCAATCTACTACTAAGCGAGCTACCTGGAATCAAATTCAACGGGCCATTAGGGCGTATTCCTACGGCCTCCTATCAAGAAACCTCCTATCAAGATTGTGCCTTTTGCCTGGTAAAGTAGCGAGAGATTTCGGGTTTAGGGAATTTTCCAGTGAGAGCTTGATAGGAGGTTTTCTTGATAGGTGTTGAATCAGAAAGTTTTCTTGGTTAAGTTACAACATATGGACTTCTAGTCTAGTGGAATACCGTACAACAAATCTAGTCTAGGGCACATTTCGAAAGGGCATCTAACAGAAACTCACTCGTGGCATAACAGCCCCTTCACTTCTTTCCTCCCTTGCCACCCTTCCCCCCTTTTCCGCCCTTGCCGCCCTTCCCCCCCTTGCCGCCCTTCCCCCCCTGTCCCCCCTTGCCACCCTTGGCATTACTCTTTGAGCCCGAATTGCTACCTGCAAGCTGAGGATTAGCGGTCCCACCAGATCCACTCTGCTCTCCGCCAGCACCCCCCTGCTCCCCGCCTGAACCCCCCTGCTCCCCGCCAGCACCCCCCTGCTCCCCGCCAGCACCCCCCTGCTCCCCGCCAGCACCCCCCTGCTCCCCGCCAGCACCCCCCTGCTCCCCACCAGCACCCCCCTGCTCCCCACCAGCACCCCCCTGCTCTCCGCCAGCACCCCCCTGCTCTCCGCCAGCACCCCCCTGCTCTCCGCCAGCACCCCCCTGCTCACCGCCAGCACCCCCCTGCTCTCCGCCAGCACCGCCCTGCTTCCCGCCAGATCCGCTCTTTCCGCCGGGACCACTTTTCCCGCCAGATCCATCCTTTCCCCCCTTACCCCCCTTACCCCCCTTTCCGCCCTTCCCTCCCTTTCCGCCCTTTCCGGCCTTTCCGCCTCCACTTTTTCCGCCAGGTCCACCCTGCTCCCCACCAGGTCCGTCCTGCTCGCCGCCAGATCCCCCCTGCTCGCCGCCAGATCCCCCCTGCTCGCCGCCAGGTCCCCCCTGCTCGCCGCCAGATCCCCCCTGCTCGCCGCCAGGACCGCCCTGCTCTCCGCCAGGTCCCCCCTCCTCGCCGCCAGGACCACCCTGCTCTCCGCCAGGACCCTCCTGCTTCCCGCCAGGACCCCCCTGCTTCCCGCCAGGACCCCCCTGCTTCCCGCCAGGACCCCCCTGCTTCCCGCCAGGACCTCCCTGCTTCTCGCCAGGTCCGCCCTGCTTCCCGCCAGGTCCGCCCTGCTTCCCGCCAGGTCCGCCCTGCTTCCCGCCAGCTCCGCCCTGCTTCCCGCCAGCTCCGCCCTGCTTCCCGCCAGCTCCGCCCTGCTTCCCGCCGGCTCCGCCCTGCTTCCCGCCTGCTCCGCCCTGCTTCCCGCCAGCTCCGCCCTGCTTCCCGCCAGGTCCGCCCAGCTTCCCGCCAGATCCGCCCTGCTCGCCGCCAGGACCACCCTGCTCGCCGCCAGGACCGCCCTGCTCGCCACCAGGACCGCCCTGCTCGCCGCCAGGACCGCCCTGCTCGCCGCCAGGACCGCCCTGCTCAAAATCTCCGCCACCCAAATCTCCGCCATCACTGCCGCCCAAGCCTCCGCCTTCGCCGCCGCCCAAGTCTCCGCCATCGCCGCCGTCCAAGTCTCCGCCTTCGCCGCCGCCCAAGTTTCCGCCTCCGCCGCCGCCCAAGTCTCCGCCTCCGCCGCCGCCCAAGTCTCCGCCTTCGCCGCCGCCCAAGTCTCCGCCTCCGCCGCCGCCCAAGTCTCCGCCTCCGCCGCCGCCCAAGTCTCCGCCTTCGCCGCCGCCCAAGTCTCCGCCTTCGCCGCCGCCCAAGTCTCCGCCGTCGCCGCCGCCGCCCAAGTCTCCGCCAATGTCGCTGCCCAAATCTCCGCCAATGTCGCTGCCCAAATCTCCGCCAATGTCGCCGCCCAGATCTCCGCCACTGCTGCCGCCCAAATCAACTTCATTGCCGTCGCCCAAATCAGCAGTTATCAAAACTGGTCTGATTGCTGTTGCCTTTAGAAGTGATTGGGCTTTAAGAGCAAGACTGCGGCGCGGAGCGAGGGACCTCGCGGATCCTGCTCCGATGGACAAGACACGTTCATATATCGTAAATGTCGATTTGGATAGAATTCACGATAAGGGCGCAAGTTAAAATGGAGTTGAAAAAACGAATTGGCCTTATATGAAATGGAGGAAAACCGAAATGGAAATGATTGTGATTAGAGGACAGGAGAGTGTGCACCAAAGTGAGACACTCACCCGGCGTTACGAACCCCGGCGCCGCTAAAAGCGCGAGTAGAAGAAGAGCCAACGCCGTGACTCGAATTTTGCAGCCCATCGTGCAGGAACGATTCTCGCCGCTACTGGACACGTGCTAGGCAGGGACGAGCTCAAGAACAGTGGAAATGTGCGAGTGGCAAGAGCTCAAATTGCGAGAAGCTCGAGTGAGAGTACTGGGGAGGATGCTGATGTGAGTGACGAGTGCATGTTTTTATATGTGGAGGTGGGGGGGAGGGGACGCGGCTCGAAAGCGTTTTCGTCTTGGGGGTGTAAAAGGATGTGATTAGTTTTGGCTGGACAATCAGTTCCCGCCAGATCAAATCCGCCACTTGCGCCTCTAGCTCAGGTTTCGCAGGCATATTTCACGACAGGGAGATAGGACTACTATGTGTTTTTGCGAAGTGCTACAAACCCAACCTGCGACGCCAAGATGTCTCGCAAATACGCTTCCGACTGTTACGCCGTGCTGCTTGGTCACGCACACCACAGTGGGCCCACACCTGCGCAATTGTCGAAGTTCGTTGGCCGCTTCTCTGGTCGAAATCTGGGCGTTTGGAAATCGTTTGACGCGGCAGGCCGCGGCTTGCGCTAGTGCCACAACATGCCATGAACTTGAAACGAGTATACTCCAGCTATAAATCAGCACATAAAAAATTGGGTATCGTATGATACGCTTGGAGCTCTCAACACCTACAGATATATCTCAAGCTCATGACATTGAAGTTTCATCTGTCATGCTGTAACAATTAGTTGGATTGTTTGTTATTAAAAATCTGCGAATGAAATTGAGCTCAAATTTCTCAGTAGTTGTTGTGTAGCTGATGGTTGCATAGGCCCTAATAGTGACGCTTTATTCTTGTGATGCAACACGTGATGTGACAAGCAGGGTTCTCGCTAGGTTTTGGGGCTGTCTGACAGTACCCTGAAAAATTTTTCCCCCGTCTTATGGTCGGACGACGAAACTTCCGTGGTCTGCCTTATAAGCTGAAATAATATTTCTAGTCTGATAAATAAGACGAATTTTTTTTTTCTGTTAAAAGTCAACCTACTGTGGCTGTGGCACAACGGGACAACGCGTTGCCGTGGCTGTGGCTGGCGTCGGCGCCGACAGCCAGCCACACGACAAACTCCTGGCAGCGAGGCTGCCATAATGAATGCGCGCATTCATTACGCGCATTCATTACGCGCATTCATTACATGACACGCGTAATGAATGCGCGTGCGCATTCAGGGCAACAAATGGCTGTACCTGTGGTCCTATCCTCTGGTCCACTGGGCATATGGCCTAGTGGGTCAAGATGTCGGTTTCAGACGAAACCGAACTCGGTATCTGTGTTCTCAGATGAAGAATTCTACACGTCTGGAAAAATCATACGAACCTAAAAGTCAAATCTTACTGATCAGATGAGAACAAACACAAAATCTTAGGATTAAGATGAATACTAAAAATCAAGTCTTAAACTCAGACCATCAGACCAAATTGGTCTGATAACGAGAACCCTGGTGACAAGTGTTCGTGAGGGTTGTTGTTGATGTTCGAGGTAGATACGCCATTCTTCGGCTGCATGCTGTACGTGGATCGGTAAGTGTTTTTTTCGGCAGGAAGGTTGTCTTGCCATGAAAAAAGGGCCAAGAGGCCAAAACAGAATGCCAGGCAATGTCCTCTTAATAACAGTGTGGCAATGTTAAGACGTGGTGCAACCTGGCCTAATCAGATTGAATTGGTTGGCCAGGTAGTTCGCACCAAGGCAAGACTTGGGTCGATATGATCGTGTGGCTTGTAAATTGCAACCATATAAGCATCTCCACAGCCGAGTAGCAACTGCTTTGCACCTACTTCCTTGCAGCCTCACATTAGGTTGGGCGAGGATTTGTGAGTTGGCAAAACAATGAGCTGACTTCCAGGAACATGCAGATCGCCTCCGGATTCGGTCCACACGCGATGATAGCCTGGCTGCATTGCGTCTTTTGTGTGGATGAAGTGAACAGTAAGCTCACACCAAGTATGGCAGAATGTGGGCAGGATATAAATAAAGTTGGCAATGTCAGAATGAGAAACATGAATGTGTGTGACTAGCAAGAACAACAGTACAAATATGAAACCCTAAACTGGTGTACCCCCTATGGTGTGACCCACTACAGCCTAGAACCACACAAACATATAATGTTTGACACACCCCCATAGGCAAAGTGGGGGAGACCTAGGGGTCACAAGACCAGTCAAGGCAAAGCAAGGCAAACAAGCTCAGGGTGGATCTCGAGGATTCCACACAAATTCCGAGCACAAGTAAGCGGTCACAAGACCAGTTCACATGTAGTTTGATAACAGAGCAAGAGGTACAATGATCACAACCTAGCAAGGGCAAACATGCAGGTATATATATAATGATCACAGTACAGGCAAGGTCAAGAAGTAAGCAAGTGAGGAACAGTCGGCACAAGGCCTAGAAGAGTGCAAAAACGCTGATGGTCAACAGGCGGAAGCGCCTTGGTGAACACATCAGCAGTGTTGGCCTCAGTGGCCACGTAACGCAGAAGAAGCTGACCACGCTGCTGTAGCTCTCGAGCTAGAAAGTAACGCAGAGCAATGTGCTTCGTCCTGTGCTCCAGTCTGTGCTCCTGACACAAGGCTATGGTTGCCTTGTTGTCGACGTACAGCACTGGAGGAGAACGAGGCTGCTCTCCAAGGTCAGTCAGCAAGTAGGTGAGCCAGCGAAGCTCCTGGGCAGCCATGGCCGTGGCGTAGATCTCAGCCTCACTGCTGGAGCCGAGAACAGAAGAGGAACGAGTAGAACGCCAAGAGACAGAGCCAGAGCCAAGACTGAAGGTGTAACCCTGAGACGACCGCTGAGTAGCCTGGTCGTCTGCCCAAGAAGCGTCTGAGTGCCCAGTGAGAACAGGCCGGTCTCGCCCTCCAAGCACTAGCCCCATGCCCGACGTACTGCACAAGTAGCGCAACACCCTCTTAGCTGCATCCATGTGCTCCTTCCGGTGACGGCCGGGAGCGACATAGCGTGCTAAGATGCTAAGAGGGTATGCAAGGTCAGGTCGAGTGCAGGTCATCAGGTACATGAGGCAGCCCACAAGCTCTGGATACGGACCACTCGGCTCTACGGACTCATCCGAAGGCAGAGCTGAGAGCGAGTGTCCCGTAGGCAGAGGAGTGGACTGAGGCGAGGAGTACGTGAAGCCGAAGCGCTGAAGGACCTGCTGCACCATGTGTGACTGAGTCAAGGTGATGGTGCGGCGTGCTCTGTCCCGGGTGATCCGCAAGCCAAGATAGCTTGTCAGTTCACCCAGGTCTGTGCACGTGTGTCTCTTCTGCAGCTCGGACTTCACGTGAGCGAGACCAGCTGTGTCAGAAGTGGCAAAGACCAAGTCGTCGACGTACACGAGGATGTAGAACGGCGGCAGTGAGGTGTCGGTGCGTAGAAACAGCGACGGGTCAGCAGTAGAAGGAGCGAACCCAAGAGCCGCAAGTGTAGTCCTCAGTGTGTCGTACCACTCACGTGGCGCCTGGCGGAGACCGTAGACTGGTCGCCTGAGGCTCCACTGGGTACCAGGAGGAAACGACCCAGTGAAGCCAGGTGGGCGGCGCAGCCAGATCTCCTCGTGCAGGCTGCCCTGCAGGAAAGCAGTGCTGAAGTCAAGAGAGTGGAGCTCGTAGTCACGCTGAGCGGCGACGTGTAGCAGAACCCGAAGAGTGGTCATCTTCGGGGTCGGGGAGAAGGTCTGGAAGAAGTCAACTCCCTCTCGCTGACTGAAGCCTCGTGCAACGTAACGCGCCTTGAAGACAGGCGGAGAGCCCGGCGGCCGCTTCACCCTGAAAATCCACATGCCACTGACGATGTTCGCCCCAGGTGGGGGAACCTCGTCGACGTAGGTGCCTGTGGACTTCCAGGAAGCCATCTCTGTGTCCATGGCTGACTGCCACTGAGAGGATTAGGGACCGGCCATCGCCTCTGCGTAAGAGCGTGGGGTCGGGATGTCTGGTGCATCCGGGTCTACCTCAGGGGCAACAAGCATGGACACGAGATGGGGCAAAGCAGCGGCAAGGCAACTAAACTCCTCCTGTCTGTCCTCAAGAACGTCCGTGCCAAGAGCACACTCACCCCCGACGGACGGAGGACAGACAGACTCAGACTCAGCAACAAGACTCGCAGCGTAGTCTAGACGACACGCAGCTGCAAAGTCGACAAGCTCAGTGACTAAGGCAGACGCAGCAGCGGACTCAAAGGAAGGGTCAGTGACAACTGTAGCCAGGAGACGTGTGACAGTAGGACTGGCAGCGCGAAGGGTGTCTGACTCCGGGTCAGCAAGAGCAGGAAGAGAGGACGCAGGAGGCGACGGGAGAGCGACACGCTGTGGAGCAGTGGACTGACGAAGCGCCATCTGGTGAGTGCCTGGGACAGCAGGAGGACGCTGACACTGGACACGACTACCAGTGGTAGTAGCACGACCAGGCGACGCTCGACGAGACGCAGGTGACACAGGACGTGACGCAGGCTCACGTCTCTCAGCAAGACCTCCAGTCGGACCAGTGTAAGGAGTAGGCACAGGGAGTGGGGAGGCAGGCGGTAACTGTGGCTGTGACTGGACAGACGGCGGACACTCTAACGCGAGAGGAGGACAAGGAGGAGGAGTCTGACCAAGAACCTGCTGAAGGAGCGGAACGAAGTACGGCCGTGGCCGTGCAGCAACTCCCGAACCAGTAGAGACACCAGCGACAGGGTCCTCAGCACCAGCAGAAGCTCCACCCTCCGGGTCCCCCACTCCAGCGGCAGCAGCAGCACCTCCAGCAGCACTAGCAGCACCTCCACCAGCAGCAGCACCTCCAGCAGCAGGGTCCGCAGCACCCACAGCAGCTCCAACGCCCGGGTCCTCAATACGAGCAGCACCTCTAGCAGCACCGCCAGCAGCAGCAGCACCTCCAGCACCAGGGTCCACAGCACCCGCAGCAGCGTCAACTCCGGGGACTCCAGCACCAGCAGCTCCACTCCAGAGACTGATGTGCCGAGCGTACCACTCTCGAAGCTGTGGGGACGAGGGCGGCTCCCG